TGGGCCAAGTGTGTGAAGGTTTTCTTTTAGTTGCTTGTATTCTGCCTTGTGTATGAAAGAGTAAGCAATCACTTACTTTTTAAAAGTCATCTACAGTTCTTTTATTGGTCCAGTCGGATTCAATTTAAAAATAAGAATAGAAATTAGCATTTTTTTGAAAATGTATTTCATCCTTACAACCAACCTATGGAGTAGGTATTGTGGCGATCCTTTCTTAAGTTTATACTTCTTCAATTTCCCCTTAATCATTTTATTTTTCTTTGGCCCCTACCATATACTCTTTAAAAGAAAACCAATGTTATTAAACATAAGTTTACAGAAGGACCAAGAAATTTCACTCCTTGGTATATAGCCATGGGAAATGAAAGCATATATCCTCATAAAATGTACTCATAACTGTTCAGAGCAGCATTGCTCACAATAGTTGAAAAGCAAAAAAAAAAACAAAAACAGATGCCCGTTAGCTGGGGAATAGAGAAACAGTAGAATCCTCCTGATGAATGGGCCATGGATGCAGGCTGCAGCCCAGGTGGACCTCCTAGTCATGAAAAACCACATGATTCCATTCCTATGAAATGTCCAGAAAATTACCAAGACAGACAGTTAATTAGAGTTAATTAGTAGTTACTGGGGCGTAGCTGGGATAGGAATTAACTATACATGAGAATGAGGGATTTTTAAGGGGTGATGAAAATGTTCTAAACATGGATTTAGTGATGCTTTACACTTACACAAGTATGTGAATTCACTAGAAATTATTGGCTTGTAAACTTCAAACAGATAAATTCAATTCACCTCGATAAGGCTGTTTCAAAAGAAAACGAAGAACAGGCTCACATGCTAAGCTGAACGTAGCTAGGCATTGTCTAACTTTCATATATGCTTGTAGGCTAGTCTATAGATCAACAGGTTTTTGTGAGATAACAACATGATGTGAAAGAAGCCTCAACTTTTAGATCAAAAAGGCCTGTTTTCAAATTCTAGCCCCACCCCCACCCCCCCTTTCCCAACTACAGACCTCTGAGCACTCTGCCACAAGCCTGCAGTTACTCAACTGCACACGGCAGGGCAGTGAAACCTGGGAAAGCATGACCTACTTCTCCCAGGTCTGGCGAGTTTTCCTACCTTTGATGAGCTACAGTCTTTCCACCTCTCTCTCACTGCGTTTTCCTTCTGCCACAGGGTCCACCTTACACAGGGTCCAGCTTTCACAGATTTTACTGTGCTGTTTTCTACCTCACTAGCATGTGAAGGTAGAGGTAAAGCAAACCAATAATCTGACTAACTATAAAAGGGTTCAAGAGTTCATCCGGAGAAGCAATACTGTTGCCATTTATTGTACCGGGTGCTGAAAATTTTAAGTAAATCTAGAAAAACACATGAATATTCTCTTTGTGTTGTGCTAATTAATGGATTATTTTTAATGTTAACTTTCAATTGACTACTTAATACACTTATATAGTGTTTTAGATTTTGACCAGAAATGTTAGTCACCATCAAAGGCAACCACAAAATATCTTGAGTTTTTCTTTCCTTTAAGAATCTAAAACCTAAAAATGAAACAAAAACAAAAAAGAATCTAAAACCTGACACATATTTCTTATTTTACACAGTCCAGATTTTAGTGTGGTTTTGGATACCTGCTTAAACCGGGGTTTCAGCAGACTTCTAGACAATATGGCTGAGTTCTTCCGACCCACTGAGCAGGACCTGCAGCACAGTAGCTCCGTGAACAGGTAAGGCCACATCTAATGAGCACTCTGAAGAAATGGCGTCTTGGGTGTTTCATGTTCCAGGTAGCACAAGACTCTATAGGATAAAGTTGAGTACCTTATCGTTCAACAAATTGAACTCTTTAAAGTCAATAACTCATGCATTAGTGGCAGCGTCTTCCAGATTAAGGATTAAAATTTGCATCTTCTAGGAACACTTTGTTGTGAACCTAGCTCCCAATAAACCAAATTCTGATTTTTAACTCCTTAGAATACAAAACACAACAACAGGAAGTGCACTAAATTTTAATGTCACCTCTAATGTTATTCCAGTAGTCATGTCACAATGAGCCAGCATATGATTGGTTGGTGCTTGGTCTTCATAGTATCTGCTTGGTCTGTCTATGTAAGATAGGCACGAGAAGCAAGCCCGAGGAGAAAGCAACAGGACCGAGGGTTCCAGGGTCTTGGGGAAGGAGGAGTTGTGGGATGAGGGCAGTGAGCAAACAAGGTCATGGACAGGGGAACAACAAGGTATCTAAAATCGATGGTGAGTGGGGCACAGAGTTCCAGGTAGTGGTGGAGCAGCCATAATCTAGCCGTGAGAGATTAGTGAGAAGCAAACGAGGGGTGAACATGTGGGTGTTTTAGTTTGGGTGGAATAGAGAAACAAATTCATACACACTCATATATGTGAAAGGAAGAGCTTTATATAAATAGTAATTTACATTAAGAAAACATCCCAGCCCAGTCCAGATCAAGTCCATAAGTCCAGTATTAGCCCATATGTCTGATACCGATCTATAAAGTTCTCTTCAGACTTATAAGACACAAGCAATGATGCCGAATGCAGGAAGATTACAGGCCAGTGGGTTGGAAGTCTTGTGGATCCAGTGGTGGTGTCAGCATATCAGTGCTAGCTCCGAGGCTTTGACTGCCATCAACCTGTCTCCATGTGGTTTGTCAACAAAAATGTTTAGCTGGGACTGAGCATGTGTCCCATCTCCAGTGTGCTATTTATCTCCTTAGGGCCTCGAAATGAGGTCAAGCTGGGACCTGATTGACAGGCTAAACTCCACCCCTTTACTCTTTATATTCAGATTGATAACAGATTATGTAACTACCACAGTGAGACAGGAGGAAGGTAAAAGGAAATATAGGAAAGAACTAGGAAGCAAAACTACTTATAGAGGTGTACATATGTAAATATATTAATGCATAAAAATAGGGGTATCGGTCTATGTACATCTATTTGTTTGGCAATATATTGAGGCAGTGCATGGACTCTGGGCCTCTACTTAACTATTCCCTCAACACAAGAACAGTTTGCTCTAATAATGTGGCACTGGGGGATGCCCACTGCCCCAACATGATCGCTGAAGATAAACTGGGAATATAAACAAATGTGAAGAAAGCAGATGGTGTATGGTTATCAAAAGATATAGTATCTAGGATTTTAAACACTTGAAGCCAAACAAGCGACCATTAGCAGGGAAATAACAAAGCCCACATAGAAGAAGCACACCAGCCTGTGTGATCATGAGGTGTCAATGGGAGCAGGCATCAGAAATTCAAAATAAACAACCACAGTGAGTGATGGACAGGGGTCAAGGTGGAGACCCAGAGCTCATCTGTGGAGAATTGGACGTGCCAGCACAGAGGGACTGCACGGAGGAGAAAATGCATCCAGGGGGCAGTTTAACACCAATGAAGCACACAACACTCCACTAGTTCTTTCATCCGTCCTTCCCACCATTATTATCGCAGCCCTACCTCGCAAATCCCACTATACTGATGTACATACAATGGCACAGACGAGCACTTTCAATATGTGGAATTCAGGAAAGACAAACCCTCTCAAAATTAGTAATGGGAGTAATGACTCCAGGAGGGTGGGGGAAGAAAGGGGTAAAGGAGCAGCGGTTAGCAATGGTGCCAGAATAGCTTCCTGCAAGGGGGACAAGTCCAGGAGAGTAGGTGGAAGATAGACTGGGTGGTGTAAGATATGTGTAAATAATAATAATACATATATAAAGGGCTCAAGAAGAAAGAGAATGTGTAGAAAATTGTTCATGTCCACAATTGTACTTGGATGTATGGATTATTAGAATATATGTAAGTACCCCCAATAAAATGATTTATTCAAGAAAAACCAACAATGAACCAGCATAACATTAATTTGGTCAATGTAATAATTAGACCTTCTTGTTGTAGAACCTCATTTTATTAATTTTATTAACTCTTTCTTACTCTATAAATACATGACTTTATCTCCAACTCTTGTTATAAGGTTGTGAGTATATAGTGCAATTGTTACTAACTTATGGTTTTGTTATATCTTTATCATCTCAATGTGATTCTCCTTGAACTTGTATCAGAACTTACATACTTTAAGGGCCTCTGTTTTACAGTTTTTATATTAAACTCAGAAAGTTATGAACACTAAATCAGTCTTGACTGGCTACATTTCCTAATTTTGATAAGCTTATCAAAATTAGGATCACTTTAAGTTCTATGAATTATTTATATGCAGCATCTTTTAATTATTAAATACATAGATCAAAACATTATTTGTTGAACTCACTGGGACCCTTTGATGTTGTGTAGGCATGAGTAATTACCAGTTAATATTGAGCATTTGGAACATTTAGAGCCTTGAATTTTTTTTTTCTGAAGCAATTTGAATATTACCCTAAAATCTTATTTCACAATTTATAGAAAAATGAATTTCAATCAAAGACCACCTTTACATACTTTCTAAATCAAGATGTTCCAGATTAAAAAGATTTCATACCTCAATGTTATTAGTTATTATTAGTAGTTTTAATTTGTACCTAATAAGTTTCCACCTAAGAGGTATTAAACAATTGTAGTTCATATAATTTTAATATGAACATATATTTGATCTTTTCCACTGTGGCATTATAAACTATCATGCCTTTTCATACCTCTTTATACACAGTAGGAACTTAGTAAATATTTCCTCAGTTTATTTCATATGTATAATGAACTTCCCACTCTGTGACTAAGCATGAGAAATAAGCCCATTATCCTAATGCTTAACATGTGGAAATTTTAACCATCATACTAAGCCAAGAAATAAAAATTTTAACTATTGGCAAAGTAACAAAAACCAAATAATCATTTATGTTTTTTTAAATCAATTCAGAACCCTTAAGAAGATCATCTAAAAATTGATTCAAACTACTAAAAACTCAAATAATGCATCTTACATATACATGAAACTTTTGTATATATTAACCTATATGGAATGAATATTTAAAAATCGATAGCTTCCATACGCACTAGTAATAACCCAATAGGAAATATTATGGATAAACATATCATCAAGAAACAGAATGGTACAGATCTGAAGAATGAACATAGATAGAGGAATCAAAAATAAAGTATTAGCAAATGAAACTCAGAAATATGTAACAACTAGACGTGCAACCAATATTTTTTGCTTTTTCAATGTACACATTTGGTAGAGGAGGTATTTTTCAGAACATTACCTCATTGAATCCTTAATATAACCCTAGGAATAAAGTAATATTTTCCTCATTTTATTGATAAGGAAACTAAGGAACAAATAACTTCAAATCAAGCAGCTATCAAGCAATAATGCCAGATGGCAAATCATTTCTAACATCAGAACCCACCATCTGAAACCATTATGTGCCAGCACTGTGACATTAGGACATATTAGAAGGATGCAAGAAGGATTAAAACATTAAGAAGCTATTATATTAATCCATAGTATTAGTAAGTTAGTAGGGAAAATGCATCTTCAGTGCTGCTAAAAAGATTCAATAAATTGAATTATCTATTATTGATAAAAGACTTAAAATGTACTTTATATAATATGAAAGATTTTTAATCATGTTGTACTGGAGGATAGTGAAACACTAGAAGAGTTTCATTCAATTCAAAAAATAAAGAAAGATGGTTACTCTGGATCTGTTTATGCACTATTGTTCTATAGTTCTAACCAATGCAGTGAGACTAGGAAAGACCAGTTGTTGTTTTTTTTTAACTAAATTCAAGACCATCGATTTTTACATTTTTATCTTCTAAATGAATTTAGAAAATATCCTTACTACTTTGGTTTTCTAAGGTAAATCTATCCATCTCATGTAGAAAACTTGATACCATTTTTAGAAAGGGAGAAAACAAATTATGATGATGATGATGATGATGATGAGGATGATGATGTGACAGTAACATAAGGAGCACTGTGGAGTAAGCATTGGGTTTTGCTATCTCCAACTTTGGCAGTTCAAATCCACCAGCCATTCTATGGGAGAAAGATGAGACTCTCTGCTGCCATCCAATAGAGGGTGGCTCTGAGCGGGAATCACCTCTATGGCAGTGGGTTTTTTGAAGATGACCTAATTGTGTACTTAGAAACTATGTACCAAAACAAGTTTTACAATAAATATTAAATGTGAATGACATTGTTTAAAATATGGAAGTCATACAAATAGGTTAATTATATATAAAAATCTTCACATGTCAGCTAAAGAATAAAATTCCCAAAGAAATAAATGGTCTAAGACACAAACCGTTAAGTCTCAAGGGAAGATAGCAATTTGTTTGCTCAGTTAACATCTATTTACTAAAGACCTGATATGTATCAAGCCATGTACTGGATCTCTGCCCTCATGGATCTTATAAGCTGAATAGACTGCAAATATGAGTCAGAATCGGAGGGCTGCCAGTTGGTTTTGTATGATATGAAATTGGAACAAGTGTGCAATGTCACGTGAAGTATCTCTGAAAAATAGCATTTGAACTGAGAACTACAAGATAGTTAGCAAATAGATTAGGGAGGAGAGTGGGGCAGTTGACACTCCGGGCAGAAACCTAGAGCATGGGCAAAGCTTATAAAGACTGTAAGCCAGAAGATGTGTTGGGGAGCAGATTGGACTAAGAAAAAGTACAGGTGACCTTGGACAACACAGGTGTGAACTGCAAGGGTCCACTCATATGCAAGTTTTTTTTAATGACGTGATGCTGATCAACTCTGCCTGAGCCATCCATCTCTCCATCAGTTGTATATCGTAGTAAAACGTGATCTTTGGAAGCTCTCAGTTCTCCCACATTTGTAATGGTATTTAGTGCAGTACTATAAACTTAATAATATCACAAAAGCCATACAAAGTGCCACTCGTAATGCTGGAAGCGCTCCCAAAGCAGAGAAGAGTTAAGACATTACAAGAAAATGTTGGATTGGTTGATACATATGCTAGATTGAGTTCTGCAGTTGTGTTGCATACCATTTCTAGATAAATGAATCCAACCAATGTAAGGACCATGGTAGGAAAAGAAAAGGAAATTCATTAAGCCCTCACAGCAGCTACACCAGCAGGTGTGGAAACTTCCCACTTTTGCAAAATATCTTCTTATCTTGTACTGAAAATGCAGCTTTTATGTGGGTGTAGTATATAATATATATAAAACATACAAAATATGGGCTCAATGTTTGTTAATTAGTAAGACTTCTGGCCAAAAATGGGCTATCAGTAAATAAGTTTTTAGTGAGTCAAAAGTTACACATGGATTGTCAGCTGCATGGGGGGTGGGGGAGGGGGTGTAGCGGCCCTTGCCCCAAGGGATGTTCAAGGGTCAACTGTAGTGTGAGGTGAAGCTAGAGAGTTTGAAGTTAGAGTCTGGTTCTCATGCTGACACTGGGGACCTACAGAAGGGTGTGAGCAAGAGAGTGATGTGATGTAGGTGATGGCACAGAATCTGATGCCTTATGGAGAAGGAATCAGGGACACCGAGTTTGGGTTGGGCCATAGGAATAGTCGAATGAAGGCTTTTATTAGTTGATTCTATAAGTTGTGTATTGAACACTCCCTGTGCACCTGACACTTGACCAAATGCTGTAATAATGTAACTTGCATGACAGAGGACTGGAGAGACAATGACCAAACCAGCAAACAATGGTATCAAGGTCCTGTGAAAAGGGAGAGTGCTTCATTCTCCGGGAACGTATAAGCCCCCCACATCCTTTTTTCTTTGCAAGCATTACTTCCCATCTCAGCACAACACGCCGACTGGCCACCATAGTCTGATTTTTCAAACTATTTTAAAGGGAGTTCCTAATGAAACTCCAGGTTTAAATCTATGAAGTCTGATTTTTTTTTAATGTTATAAGACTGAGTCTACAACACACACAAATCAGTTGTGTCATTTAATAGTTACATATCACACATATATATGCTTATTTATTCATCCAGCAAGTTATTAAACACATTTGGGCCAGTGCAGCAGGCAAGAGATAATGGTTAGCATGGACCAGGTTTGGTGATGCCTCAGAAGGCACGTCTAAGAAAGCTTCGGACCCCTGGAGGGATTGGGAGGGTAACTCCCAGGTTGATAGCCTAATAGAGAGCAGTTCTCTGGAGTAGGGGAGAGTGAATGTTGCTAGTAGAGAAGTGGGCGAGATGTGTTTGTCACTTCTCAGATTTAAACTAAAGGGAAGAAAAGGCCGCATCTAGAAAGCAGGTGTGGTGGAGCAGGCAACATCACGCCTACTGGAAAAGCCCAGAGCCTTTGGCAATGCACGTTGTAAGCCGTGAAGACACTGATACCCGTTGACACTATAGTAATGTGAAGTCTAGCTACAGGACACGTTACTTCTTTTTCCTTTTTTTTTTTTTTAAATACTTTTGTCAGGGGCTCTTACATCTCTTATGACAATCCATACATTCATCTAGTGTGCCAAGCACATTTGCACATATGCCACCATCATCATTTTCCAAGCATTCTCTTCCCACTTGAGCCCCTGATATCAGCTCCCCGTTTCTTCCCCATCCCTCCCCCATCCACCCTCCTTCATGAACCTTTGATAAGTTATAGATTATTATTTCCATATTTTACATCGTCCTCTGTCACCCCTCACCCAATTTTCTGTTATTCGTCCCCTTGGGAGGGAGTTCTAGATTGATCCATGTGATCAATTCCCCTTTCTCCCCCCACTCTCCCCTAATCCTCCTGGTATCTCTACTCTCATTGTTGGTCCTGAGGGGTTTATCGATCCTGGATTCCCTGTGTTGCGGGCTCTTATCTGTAGCAGTGTGCATGCTCGGTCTAATCCGATTTGTAAGGTAGAATTGAGGTCATGATAATGGGGTGAAGAAAGCACCAAAGAACTAGAGGCAAGTTGTGTGTTTCATCGGTGCTATACTGCACCCTGACTGGCTCATCTCTTCCCTGTGACCCCTCTGTGAGGGGATGTCCAAATGTCTACAGATGGGCATTGGGTCTCCACTCCATACCCCACCCCACCCCCATTCACCTTGGATATGGTTTTGTTCTGCATCTTAGATGCCTGGTACCTGATCCCATCAACACCTCACGATCACACAGGCTGGTGTGCTTCTTCCATGTGGACTTTGTTGCTTTTCAGCTAGATGGCGCTTGCTTATCTTCAAGCCTTTAAGACCCCAGATGCTATATCTCTTGATAGCCGGGCACGACCAGCTTTCTTCACTACATTTGCTTATGCACCCATTTGTCTTCAGCAATTGTGTCAGGAAGGTGAGCATCACGGAATGCCAGGCATTCTGTGATGACAGGTTATTTCTAGGGGACAATTAGACAAAAATATAGAAGTCCAAATCTTGGGAGCCAATGATATATGGTCACAGAAAACAAAACAAAAAAACCTTGGAAGAACTAAAATGAAAAGATATTTGCATTAGGAAAAATGCAAATGTGTGTACCTAAAACACAGTAGTTTTTCTGTTTAAAAGATAGAACAAAAAGTGTATATATGGTCTACATCTTAGGAACCCTGAAGGCGCAGTAGTTAAGCATTCGGCTGCTGCTCACTAATGCTATCAAACCGCTTGTGAGACCATGAAGGAGTCCTGATAGCATAGTAGATTACACATTGGGCTGCTATCCTCAAAGTCAACTGTTTGAAACCACCAGCTACTTTATGGTAGTGAGAGTTATTCTCAGAAACCCACAGGGACGGTTCTACCCTGTCCTATAGGCTCTCTGTTGTATCGGAATCAACTCGATGGCAGCTCACTGAGTGAGCCTATGGGAGTAAAGTCCTGGTGACCCCTTAAAGACTAGCCTATGGGCAGTTTTGCTCTATCTTGTAGGGTCACTGTGAATCAGAATCAACCTGATGGCGCACAGTGCCAGAGAGAGAGAGAGAGAGAGAGAATGCACAGAGAGGATTAATCATGATGTCATCTATAAGTGTTATTTCTAGGTGATAGAATTATATGTGGTTTTTATTTTCTTGACTTTTTTTTATTAAAATGCTGGATTCTTTTCAGGTAATTTCAGAAACTAATTAATTCTGTGATAATTTTCCAGTCTTTCCAGTGTCAGCTTGCCTTTAGCTAAAATAATCCCGATAGTAAATGGACAGATCCACTCAGTCTGCAGTGAAACACCTAGTTATTTTGTTCAGGTAAGAAGAAAGCTCACGGTATTATACTCTGATTTTGGGTTGTCAAACTAAAATTGCTTGCTTGCTTGTGTAACATAAAATTACATTTCTATCCTGTGTTGTTCAAGTTTTTAAAAAAAGGGAAAGAAACATGAAATTGCATGGAGAAGGCATAGACTGGCCCCTGGGAATACCTTCCCCCATATTATAGAGCCCAGCACCTGCTAGACTGTTTGAGTGCAGATGTATCCACTAGTCAGTTGAATTTAGATAGTATTAATGCTGTATAGTAAACTGTAATATTTAAGAAGATTGCCCTTTGAAGATCAGTAATTAGTTCCTCAAATTTTGAGGTAAACCAAAAAAAGGGGAGAAATAAAACATTTTAACTGTAACATATCAAGAACCTGCTCGCAGACATTTTCATACCACATGGAGTTATGGACATTCTGAGAGCTGCCACTCATCTTGAGCAGCCCAGGTGGGGCCGTGGGCTCACATGTGCTGCTAACTGCAGGGTCAGAAGTTCAAAATCACCAGCTGCTCCACTGGAAAAAATCAAGCCTTTATATCTACCCCAGTCAAAAGTTAGAAACCCATAGGTGCAGTTCTAGCCTGTCCTGTATGGCTGTTATGAGACAGAATCCACTCAATGGCAGTGAGTTTGGTCCTTTTGACCTTGCCATTCATCTCAAGTATGACTCCAGTTACAATATTGCTGTATCAAAATTTGACTGTGACATATTTCATAAATGTGACCACTTCTAACTGAAGATGCTTGTGATTGCTATTGGTGATAAAGTCACAGATCCTACTTAGGATATTCCAATTGCCTACATTTATACCTGAAGTAAATTATAGATTTCAATCAGAGATTAGTGAACATAAATATTAATATGTTTCCTTATCTTTATATTCACACCAGCCACCTGGGAGAATTAAGAACCCTTGCTCAAAAGTGTATTTTATATGTTGCTTGTATACATGTACATATAATATATGCATGAATTGCCTATACTTATAGTTGTAAAATGTTTTAGAACATTATATTCCTTACCCATATTAGGTCAGCTTCAAGAAAAGTACTTTTAGTTTGTACTTTTAGCACGTTAGCTATTTATTCAGCGGAGACTTTTATACTACCTGACACACATACATTTATGTATAGAAAAAAAACTTACATTTAGACTTTCTTCTTCTTAAAGTCATACCAGAATACTTATGATACCTACCATTCCTCTCTTTAAGAATGTAGGCAAGAAATAGCTCATCGAATTTATCAGAAGAAAAAAACTTCTCTCTCATTACATGATGTACTTTTTGTCTTTAGTAAACTTTCAGCTATATGCATTGCTTAATTGCAGACATGAATTACCTTTAGATGCACTTTTATAAACTAATATATTATCCTCTTGCTAGGATTTGTTGACAATGGAACAAGTGAAAGACTTTGCTGCTAATGTGTATGAAGCTTTTAGTACCCCTCAACAACTGGAGAAATAATTTTTCCTTCAAGAAAAAGGACAGTGATATTTATTGACTTTTAAAAATATCACACGGAATAAATCAACTGCAAAGTAACAATCTGTTACCAAAATGCCTAATAAAAATATATTCTTAATCAGAGTCTTCATTTCATAAAGAAACAGATTTATTTGGCATCTTGATATCCTTTTTAAAGTTCTCAACAGAACAGTTTTGTGGGCTTATCTGTGTGTAAAAGCAACGCAAATTTCAGCTTGGTAATTATTTCTTACACCCTGGACATGATTTCCAATATGACTAAAAGCAAACGTCAATACTTTTTATATAATATGAAAGGCCATATACTTTGACATTAATATTGAGGGAAAATCAGTTTGGGAAGTGATCCTCGGATAGATGACATTGAGGAAACATGAATTCTAAGCTCAACTAGACTACAGCAGACAGGAGTGGAGGCGACTCTTCTCCAGTTACCCTTCAAAGGAATAGATGCCTTGTCTCAAATATGTCTGGAGGTGGGGCTTTATTTGTAGAGAAACCAGTGAATTTTAACATGATCAGCCTTTTTTTCTTTGCTACTGTTAACAAGCTTAGAACATTATATATTTGAGCTGTAATAACTACATAGTTTTATTCATTTGTATGAAAATAATTTTAGTAATTTACTTTGTAGTCCATTTTGAGCACAGTGAATATCTTATTGCAATAAAATATTTTGGTAAAATATGGTCTCGAGTTGATACTTTCAACTATTGATTTATTTGTCCCATACTATTTTTGTTGTTATTTTAGAAAGGAGAATTCCCTGGGTTTCAACTTGCATGTTAACTGGTAATTGAAAGTTTACTTTCTGTTAATTTGTTTGTTTAGGGAAAATAAATTAATGCATGACCTCTTTGGAAAAGAATACCGGAATCCATTTTCTCTTAAGAAATCTATAGCTCTGCTATTTATATCAACAAATACAACTATGGTGGAAATAAATGAATCATCTTGTATCATCAAGTTATTAGCAGTATTTTCTATAACATCAGCCTACATTACATCTAGTTAAGTAAGGTTGTTGTTGACGGGGGCCAGTGAGGCGGTCCAACTGCTAGCCCCTCTGTGTACAACCCAACAAAACCCTGCCCGGCCTGCGTGCTCCTCGCACTGCTTCTTACGTTGGAGCCCGGGGTTGCAGCCACCGGGTCAGTGTGTCTTGTCAAGGGCCTGCCACTTTTCCACTGCCCCCCCACTTTACCAAGCCTGATGCCCTTCCCCAGCACTGGTCTCTCCTGGCAACGTACCCAAAGTCTGTGAGGCTACGTCTCACCATCCTTGCCTCTAAGGAGCACGCTGGCCGTACTTCTTCCAAGGCAGAT